CCAAAAAAAAAAAAAAAATAGAAGAAGACAAGTAAGTACTTACGGTCATATTATCGTCATCCTCATCGGCTACATCATGGCCAAGTTTGCTGCCGTCCACTCCGATAACTGCGGAATCGAAGCCGATTCCCTCTGCCTCGATGTGGGAATCGGGGAGAACCTTCTCCTTAGCCGACGTCTGGAAGGCCGGGGGGGCTGATGCACTGGAGCTCAATGCATCCTCTGTCTTTGATACCCCTTCCACAGGGATGCCAAGCCTCTCCTCTATCCTTTTCACTCGCTGTTCAAGGCTCCTACAAGGGCGGGTGAGCACAGATCAGACATAGCGTTTTAAGGTTTGATAGCTGCTAGCGTAAAAGCAACGAGTGCACCAGCACTCCAGCTTTAGCAACATCTCCGACAGAGGGCACCATCTTACGTTATTTGAGCGGCCTGTCCGTCCACAGTGGACAAGGGACCGTCGTGTTTTGTCTCAACTTTCCGGACTAAAAGTAACGTTACTTCATTAGCTAGTCTATCTTCCTTGCAACATCGACTGTCATCCTCATTTATTCAGGGCTGCACAGCACAGCACTAGAAGCCACAATATGCAACTCGGAAACTCCGCAGCGTCGAGCCCGGAGCCATGAACCACTCACTATACGAAGGGACGCATTCTATGTTTCGCTGGCGGCAGTTTGCGCAGGGAAACTCTCTTGTGCACTTGAGCTTTTTGCTTCGACAGAATCGACACGAGACAGGCTCCTGTCGTCTCCAGACCTTCGGACTGTCCGACGTGGTATCTAGCGCGCGCTTCATGGCTGTCGTATTGACATTAGACCAAAAGCGGGGATTTGAGACCTAAACCCGGAGCATAGCCACTGCAAATTATCTCGATAAAAGGTTCTGCATGAATTCGCATTGTCCTGGGCGTATTTTCAACTTCTTTTTGTTGTTTTGAGGCAAGTGGCTTCGAAAGGGGACCCTCGGAAATTCCGCGGAAGATGCGGGTTTTCCGACGCCACTCCGGCTCAGCTAGCGCATCGATAACATCCATTGGGCAAATGGAGGCTGAAACAGTTGGCCGGCTCAGTTTTGACGAGATATCCAACGGCGGGCTGCTGAGTGCGGAGCCCGGCCATGGGCTGTTTGGTGTTGTCTCGGGTTCCGGCGAAGGAGAGAGCCAGCTGCCAGCTCGTCGTCAGGCCGACATTGCTGGAAAAGTTGGCCTTCCATGGGGATAGTTTACAATATGCGAAATTGCCAGGGCCCATGCATCGTTATGATGCCCCTCCTGATGTCCGTAGCTGGCTTGTCTTCATGTCCACTTGCTACGGAGAAAGAGAGAACCCGGGGCCATATATCAAGGCTATGAAGACAAGCATCCGCTTTCGTGCTGCTGCATGATTATTACTATTTTCTTTTTTTTTTTTCCCGGCTTGGGTCTGGTTGTCTCTTTCTACAGCTTACGGAATGGGTTACTCCATATATTGTCCGGCAAGAACCTTGAGGTACCTATTACCCAATACCCATCCATACAACAAGCTACATTGGTCGTATGCTCTCTGTTATGGATAGACAGTTACAGCAAAGCCAATTTTTCCCGCATCATTTGCTGCTGTATGACAGTGGCAATGGCACCTGGTGGGCTGGAAATCTAGTCACTGCAGCTACATGTGGTTTTGCTTTCCCTCTCCTTTATTTTCCTATGTTAAGTTACACACGCTAACCGAACGGTTAAAATATGCTATTATTAGCATATAGGGAGAGCTTGTGCTACACGGCTTGTCAACTCTGTCTACACACGACACAGCAATGAGAGCCAGTTTAAGTCTATACACATTCTGTAGGGTTTGTTGAAAACTACGCTGCGTTACACAGGATGAAGCTTGTTGCCGGTTCTGGAATTACCTTTCGGAGCCTTACGGGGCCATCTAACTAATAGTGAGAGAACTTCTGACCAGCATAGCCATCACTGAGCAACTCAGTTTGACGGCTCGTTGCTGGTTCCTAGTTGGTCGTAGTATATCTGACCCTAGAACGTTGCAAAACACCCCTAGCTCTTCAAGTGCGTTCAATATATGAACTATGAACAGGTTTCTTTAAAAATATTGTAATTAATTGGCAGAAATCCACAGTTCGAAGACCTTGGTTCATACCATCACTGGAGCCCTTATCCCCGGCACGTCAGTATCAGCCTTGTAATCAGGTGGTCAACCGACTAGGTAACAAGCTGACTACCGATGATTTCCAATTCACGGTTGTACAGCCAAGCACAAAAATGCATCTAATATCGCTTCAGGTGTGCCCAGTGCTAGTGCATGCAAACCCCGCCATCAAAGACTTAGTACCCTGTCAACTCCGCGCTCTTGCTGAAAGAGAAGAAAGATGAGTATAACATATCTGTCCCCATCCTATCCAACTACAGAAATTCCGTTTTGGCAAATATCGCTATCAGACTATCTTAGTATTTGAGAATTCAGTATTACTATCCGCACAATATACTCAAACTAGATTGACTAGATAACTTCGAGCCACTATTATCTATATAAATAAAATGGAGGGCGAAGACACCAATACCAGCCAAGGTGACAAAGCTCCAGTGCTACTATCCAACCTCAGCCTCCTCTCCTCATCTGCGAAGGCTGCCAAAAAATATCGAGAAGAAAGCAGTGATAGACGAACAGCTCTTGATGAAGTAACGCCGGTCGGGAGATTAGATGGGCAAGATAGCAGAGCAAGCCGGTCAGGGGAGGGAATCGGATCGAGCTACGATGGAGTGGTAGAGACCGCCATCCCTATAAGACCCGAGGATGCGTTTCAGCTGTCGTCATCAGCGAAAGCAGCCAAAACCTCCAGAGAGGGGA